AAAACTGTTTTTGTTCACAGATGGCATGATCGCCTATGTAGAAAATTTGAAAGAACTGACCCAAAAAATCTAGAACTAATAAGCAATTATAGCAAGGTTGCAGGATACAAAGTTAATAGTACAAAAGTCAGTCACTTTCCTATATACTAGCAATGAACAAGTGGGTTTTGAAGTAAAAACACATTACTGTTGGAAGACTAGCACTACTAAACTTCAATACTAACTATAAAGCTACAGTAATCAAGAAGGGGTAATATTAGTAAAAGACTGTACAAATAGATCAGTGAAACAGAATAGAGATCCCAGAAACAGATACACATAAATAGTCAACCGATCTTTGACCAAGGAGCAAAGGCAACACAGTAGAAAAGATTCTTTTCAACAATGATGCATGCTGGAACTCTGAACAACCACACACACAAAAACCAAAAACATCTAGACACAGATCTTACACCCTTCACAAAAAATTAACTCAAAATGGATCATAGATATAAATGTAAAACACAGAAGTATAAAACTTTTAGAAGATAACAGAAGAAAACCCAGATGACTTTGGGTATGGCAGTGACTTTACAGATACAACACTAATAGCACAAACCATCAAAGACACAAATTGATGAGCTGGACTTAGCTAAAATGAAAAACTTTGCTCTGCGAAAGACAATGTCAAGGGAATAAGAAGCCAAGCCACAGACTGGGAAAAAATATCTGAAAAAGATACAACTGAATCTAACTATGGGCGGTGAACACACAATGCAATACATAATGACTTCCTATTGAATTGTACACTTGAAACTTATTGAATTTTGTTAATCAATATCACCATAAAAATATTTTTTTTAAAAAAGATACAACTGATAAAGGATTGTTATTCAAACTATATAAAGAACTCTTAAAACAATAAGAAAATGAACAATCTGATTAAAAAATAGACAAAAAATCTGAACAGACACCTTACCAAAGGAGATGTACAGATGGCAACTAAGCGTATGAAAAGATGCTCAACATTGTATATCAGGAAATTGCAAAATAAAACAGTGAGATATCACTATATAACTGTTAGAATACCAAACTAGAAAACACTGACAACAGCAAATTCTGGCAAGGATATAGATCATCAGGAACTCTCATTCATTGCTGGTGGGAATGTGAAATAGTACAACTTTAGAAGACAGTTTAGCAGTCTCTTACAAAACTAAACATACTCTTAACATATAAGATGCAGCAATTGTGCTCCTTGATATTTACCCAAATGAATTGAAAACTTATGTCCATACAAAAACCTGCACGTGGATGTTTATAGCAGCTTTGTTTATTTGCCAAAACTTGGAAGCAACCAAGATGTCCTGCAGTAGGTGAATGAATAAACTGTGGTACATCCAGACAATGGAGTATCATTCAGTGCTAGAAAGAAATGAGTTATGAAGCCATGAGAAGACATGGAGGAACCTCAAGTGCATATTACTAAGTAAAAGAAGCCAATCTGAAAAGACTACATACTGTATGATTCCAACCATATGACATTCTGGAAAAGGCAAAACTATGGAGACAATAAAAAGATCAATGGTTGCCAGGGGTTGGGGGGAAGGATAGATGAACAGGCAGAGAACAGAGGATTTTTAGGGCAGTGAAACTATTCTATACAATATTACAATGGTAGATACATGTTATTATACATTTGTCCAAACCCACAGAACATACAACACCAAGAGTGAACTCTAATGAAAACTATGGACTCTGGGTGATAATGATGTGTTTCAATGCAGATTCACAGACTATAACAAATGTACCACTGTCATGGAGGATATTATAATGGGGGAGACTATGCAGGTGTAGGTATATCAGAATTCTCTACTTTCTGCTCAATTTTGCTATGTAAATTTTGCTATGTATAATTTCCCTAAAAAAAAGTTTATTAAGTTTTTGAAATTGTCAACATTTACAATATTCTAGAAATTGCATATTTTACAACTACTTAAACTTAGAATGAAAAAAGCAAGAAGGTATAGTTTTTCATTCTTTTAAGGATTGTGGGGAACAAAGTTTGAAAACTCCTAGTCTAAGACAATGGTTTTCAACAAGGGCTTTATCATTCCCTAGGAAGTATTTTTGGAAAATCGTGGGTCATCTTTAGTTGTCATAATGATCAGAGGGAGCTATTGGCATCTGGTGCCATTTAGCAGGGCGATAACGATGCTAAACATCTTGCAATGTGTGGCACAGCCTCACATAAGAATTTTCTCACATCTCACACGATTTCTAAATGTTTGTGCATAATTATTTATGTTTATTTGAGTCTAGGACCTGACTTTGTTTTACATATAATCACAAAGTATTTCTAGAATTGCTGTGATCAATGCTGAATTTTAGAGGCAGGCAACTACTATATATATCAAAAAAAGATTGCACTTTTTCTTGTTCATAGTTTTACCTAAACGTGTTCACCCTAGCAATTTCACTCATCGGATCTGAGTTCTAAAACCATGCCCCTGCAGAAGTCTGCTGACATAGAGGAGGTTGAAGACTCTGTTTAACAGACTTAGAATCAAATATAATTTACTTAGTGGAGATGCATGAAATATAGTATCGCACTGAATTTATTAATAGAGTAGTTAAAATATTTCATAGTATTGTCATCCAATTATTTAAAATAGAATAATAAGAAATCAGTGGAGAAAATAACATTAAACTTATTCATTATTTATTGTTTATGCTGCTTGTGGTTTTCCACGCTTACTCTGTCACCGTCTCCAAAAGTCTACATACCACTTCTTTACAGCTTTGTGTAGTATTGCTTCATATTCCATGCATACCCTAGTCCCTGTCACCTAGCAAAAGATATGGTCTCAACAGTAATCTTAGTTTAACATGTCCTTGGTTTCCACAGAGAACCCACATACTAGCCATTGGGGGGATATCTATCTGCATTTCTTTGTAAATCTGCCATAGAGGACACCATTCATTGGATTACTCAATGCCCCTTATGCAGCAACCCTCTTAAACACTTATCTTAGAACTCAGGGCAGGAAAAGCAAGTTCTTTCTAATGGAGCAATATCAGCTCTAGCATTTGAGAGTTATGAAATAACTGTGTGGCTCCTTTTGTTTTGCCTTGGCTGCTAAGTTCAGGATTTCTTGTTGGAGTTTTTTCCTTCTCTTCTGTTTTAATTCTTGGCTCTTAACTCTTGTCCATATTAATTTCTCTGAGTATTACATTATCTGTGCTTTTATGAAAAGTCTCCCTAAGATATACAAATCAATAAAATAATATATTGCTATAGCCGCTATGTCTTCTCCACTTGTCCCAACATTATCGTCTTGATTGGTGAAAAGAACGCTGCACAGAGAAAGTTCTATGTTCTGGCTTTTGTGTGCCCTTACTTCACTCAAGTCTCTGCACAAATGCTAGTACTTCAGAGCGGCCTCCCCTGACCTCCCTCTGCCTAAAACATCCCTCTTTCCTTGACCAGTC